ATATTTTTAAAGAAGAGGAATTAGTTTTTCAATATCTAGGGCCTTGTACCTCATTCACTGGAACTGAAGACATTTTTAATTATCTTCCAACAGCTTTTTGGGACATTGAGAATATCTTATCAAATGTATATGATTTAAAAACTGATCGACAACAGAGTATATTTATCACTGGTATTTGGGCTTCCCTGGTGGCTCAGACAGTACAGCGTCTGCCCACAATGCAGGAGACCTCGGTTTGATCCCTGGGTCGGGAAGATCCCCTGGAGAAGGGAATGGCAACCCACTCCAGTACCCTTGCCTGGAAAATCCCACAGACGGAGGCGCCTGGTAGGCTACAGTCCATGGCGTTGCAAAGAGTTGGACATGATTGAGTGACTTCACTTTTCACTTAATCACCAGGATTACTTACTAGCTCTTCTCTAAATCAAAGTTGGAGTCAAAGTTTTTGTGAAAAGTCTAACTCTATTTGGATCCACTTAGCCATTCCTAAGTCAACAACTGTGGCTCAGATGGTAAAGAGTCTGCCTGCAATGCAGGAGACCTGGGTTCCATCCCTGGGTTGGAAGATACCCTGGAGAAGGGAATGGTTATCTACTCCAGTATTCTTGCCTGGTGAATTCCATGGACAGAGGAGTCTGACAGGACTCCTGTCAGACAGGACAGGTTACAAAGAGTCAGACATGACTGAGCGACTTTCACTTTCACTTTAGTCATCATCAAGCATGAATCTGTCATCAGTTCCAGCTCTGAAAGTTCTCTCTCCTTTTCTGAGAAATTAGCTAAATTAACACATCTGCAATAACAATTATGGTACTTTCCCATCAACTTCTTTACCTGGCAGCTGGCTAGTTTCTTTTAATACTGATTGTAAGGCTGTCTGATTTCAGAAGTGTTAAAATGTGAAAAAAATTGGGCCTTTTTTTTTTTTTGAAGACATGCAGTTTCTAAGCGCTATGGGAAATAAACGAGGAAGTGATTAATTTTGCCTGGGGAAGAGGTGACATTTGAGTTGAGTCTGGGAAGTTGAGCAGGAGTTTCTCAGGCAGACAAGAGGCTAAAAGCTATCCGAAGCCAAGAGAAATCTCTATTATGGTGTTTATCTGAACCTATTCTGTTAATATTTTTCCACTCCCATGAGTCTGTAAATTTCTTGAGGTCATGAACCAATTCTGTTTCCAAAACAGCCCATTAGCTCATTTTTGGGGTCATTTAATTATTGTTTACTTATTCTTTTCATATTTACTAACTTTATTCATATATATACTTACTGAAAAAATACTATTATGAGTAGCTTGTTGTAGAACTCTTGGTAAGTACACAGAGGCAAATAAATCCCACACAAATCTGTTGTAAATCCCCATTTGGAGAAACTACTGTTATTATATTGCTTCAGGCCTTTTTAAAAAATTCATATGTACATATGATTTATCTACCTATACTTTTAAAGCAAAAGTGGTATGTTTATTAGTTCATAATGTTATTTTTACTTAACCATCATATTAAAAATATTGATCACTATTTGCCTACCCATTAAAGGAAATAATGTCAACTCATAGTTTTCTACTCTTAATTGACTTGATCTCATGACCCCAGCTGATTGAACTAAAGGCTTGGCATCTGACCCAAGGACAGCCCACCTCTAGGTGGTCAGAGACATGCTCATGGGGTGAAAAGATGAACTAAAGGCTTGGCATCTGACCCAAGGACAGCCCACCTCTAGGTGGTCAGAGACATGCTCATGGGGTGAAAAGATGAGCTGGGCCAATCAGATGTCCCTGGATCATGGAATTGGGCAACCGACATCCTCAGTGGAGCTGATGATGTAAGGATGCCATGGCCTTGCATCAAATAGAGGTTAGAGTTGTGAGGGAGCAGAAAAAATTAGAATGGAGGAAGCTGGTTGTCAGAGAGAGAGAGGAGGGTAGAACAGGCCTGTGGCAAAAACCAAGATGCCCAGACGGACAGAGCCATGCCATCAGGCTTCTGTTAGTCCTATTTTTTTCTTGCTCCAGTGTTCTAGTCTATACATGTTTATTATAAATACTTCCCTTTCAGTTTTCTTTCCTCTAAAGATAACAAAGTGGGTTTTTTGAGTTCCCTGGTGGTCCAGTGGTTAGGACTCAGTGCTTCCATGGCAAGGGGCATGGGTTCGATCCCTTGGGGGGGGCGGGTACTAAAAGCCCACATGACATGAGGCAAGGCCAAAAACAAGAAACAAAGAAAAAAAAAACAATGGGTGTCTATTTCTTCAAGTCTGACTGGAACCATAAATCATTACTTATGTCTGTATAGCATCCCATTGTGTGGAGCTGCCATTACTAAGTATAAACCAAGCAAACAGAAACAACCTAGTGATGGGCATTTAAGACTTTTCCAATAAGCATCTTCATCATCAATTTTTTTTCACGTTAAAAAATAACTTTGCTACAATATATTCCAAGAAGTGAAATTCCTTGTTTGAAGGATGGCTGTGTAACCACAAAGTTGGACTTCAGAAAGATTGTATCAATGGGGCTCAATCAGCAGTGCATGAGAAAGGTTGCTTTTTCACCCTCTTGCCAATAGGATCAATTAGGTACTGATGAATCTATTTGCAGGGCAGGAACAGAGATGCAGGCAGACTTGTGGACACAGCAGAGGAAGAAGATGGTGGGACGAATTGAGAGGGTGGCATTGAAACATATAACCATGTGTAAAATAGATAGCTAGTGGGAAGTTGTATAACACAGGGAGCTCAACCTGGTGCTATGTGACAACTTAGAGGGGTGCGATGGGATAAGGGGTGGGACGGAGGTTCAAGAGGGAGGGGACATATGTATACTTAGGGCTGGTTCATGTTGTTATGTGGCAGAAACCAACACAACACTGTAAAGCAATTATCCTCCAATTAAAAATAAATTAAAAAAAAAGAAAACGTTGGTACTCTGATGTCAGTTATGACCATAATGTACATTTCCCTGAACTTGTTTTCATTGAACAGGCATGTGGATTCTGTCATTAAACAGACCTGAACTTGAGTTCCAGTTCTGCCTGTTGCTGTGTGGCTTCAGTTGAATTACTTAGTTCTCCATTTTCTCATCTTTAAATTGTTGAGATAATATTTCTTTGTTAGGATTATTATAAGGTTCAGATGAGAAAATAAATATAGCATACAAAGTCCAGTAAAGCCTCAGTACATTTCACTTATTTACTTAAGAAAAATAACAATTTGTGACAATTAGATAAAAGCTATTTTAGATATTTGAAACTCAGTGGGATACGAGCTTAAATATTTAATACCTGTTGGAACTGTATGGTTCAAAACTTCCCTGGTAGTCCAGTGATTGAGACTTCTCCTTCCAATGCAGAGGGTGTGGGATCCATCCCTGGTGGGGGAGCTAAGATCCCGTATGCCTCCAGGCCAAAAAAAAAAAAAAAGCAAAACATAAAACAGAAGCAATATTGTAACAAATTCAATAAAGACTTTAAAAATGGTCCACATCAAAAACATCTTTTAAAAAAGTGATTTTGTTTTGAAAACCTTGAGAAAGAACTAATTTCTGGGGAGGGAGGATTGGGATGGGGAACACATGTAAATCCATGGCTGATTCATGTCAATGTATGGCAAACACCACTACTATATTCTAAAGTAATTAGCCTCCAACTAATAAAAATAAATGGAAAAAAAAACTAATTTCTGAATTTGTAACAAATTAAACCTTTGGCCATTTTTTTTTTAAATGGAGGTATTCTGTACTTATAGTTTATCAAGTATCTCACTTTAACATTTTAAAGGAAGAATGGGTAAAATGAAAGTTGCTAGAGCAAAAAGCCTGGAGTCAGGTTGTGAAGTGGCTTATTTGGCATGCTAAGGAACTTGGACTATATCCTGAAGAAAGTATTAGGAAAAGACCATAATAAGGAAGAATACGACCGCGTTTGCAGTTTAGAAAGAATAGGCAAGTCACTGCAGGGACTTGGCTGGCAGAGTGGAGAACAGAGATGATGTAATCACAGTGGAGACAGAGACAAAAGCAAGACACTTCAGAAATAATACCAACTGCACATAAGGCATGAGACAAGGAGTCTGAACTGGGGCTTCTAGGAAGTCTGGTCTGAGATACATGTTTACAACTCCTCAGCAATTTAAGGTGAACGTGCATAAAGTTATTCAGGAAAAAAAATGGGCAAAGAAGAAACTGAAGAGAGCTGAGGACAGAATTCCGTTGCATACCAATATTTTAAGGGCAGGCCACAAGTTGCAAGGAGAGGAGGCACTCCTAAAAAGGTAAAGAGTTCGCTAAAAGGAAGAACTTGCAAAAAACAGTGGGAATGAATCTAGGGGAAAGGAAATCTGGACAAACACAACACTCCAGCTTTAGCATCCACTTCTCAGATATTAGAGGGGTTAAGCAGTTCAACTCCAGCGACAGGTGGAGAATCTGGAAGACCTGACGAAATCTGGGAGAAGTTTCGACTGCCAGTATGTGCGGCCCCTTAGGGCAGTTTGGGTCCTGCATGTGTCCACAGGAACACACTGGGCCACTTCAAAGGAGCCCTTCCTTGAGCCCTTTGGTGCAGAAGAGTTTGGTTAGGCGGGAAGGCGAACGGAAGATGCCCACGTTTTTTGTGTCAGGCTACAGACACTGGAGGCATTTTGATAAGTGGCGCGGATAGGGCGGCGGCCGGCGAGGGCAAAGATCCAAGGCTCGGGCGGGTCTTCTCAGTCGAGAGGAGCTGCCAGCGAGTAGGGCTGGCGGGCAGGCTCCGCCTTCTTCCTTCCGCCTCCAGAGGGCGTTGTGGGTGCAGGGAGGGGGCCAGGGGCGGAGCCGGGAGGCTCAGGCCCCGCCTCCTTCCGCCCTCTCCTGTCGGCGCGGCAGGGCGGGGACGCTGGGGCGGGGACGCTGGGGCGGGGCCTCGGGGACCAGGGCAGCCCGCGCACTGTGCAGTAGCTGCCGCCGCCGCCGCCCGCGCCTCCAAGGTCTCGCCGCTTCCTGAGCAGAGACCCGGGCTCGGCCGCCATGTCCTCCGCGGACGAGGTTGACGGACTGGGCGTGGCTCGGCCGCACTATGGCTGTGAGTGTGGGCTTCGCGGTGCCGGGGTCCCCGGGCAGGCTCGCCGTCTCCCCGGCGCCGTTTTCCCAGGGGGCTGGCCGGGCGGGTGGGGCAGGGCGGCTGTGGGCCGTGCGGACCCGGAAGAGCCGGTGCGACGGGGTGGCGGGTGGCGAGGCCCCCAGCCCGCGCCCCCTCGGTGTCCGAGGCGGCGGGGAGGACCCCGGCCGCCCCCACGCCCGGTCCCGGGCGCTGCGGCCGGAGGGCCCCACCCAGCGCCTCTCGCCGCCCAGCTCGACCGAGATTGGGGAGACGGCCTAGGGTGAGGTGGCAGGAGGACGGTGCAGGGCGTGTCCCGGGAACCGGAGCCCCGAGACGCGGGCTCTCTTCGGGCTTCGCGGGAAGGCGCTGCCCGAGCGCTGCCTGCGGGTACATCCAGAGTCCGGACCTGCCCGGCCCCAGGCTAGCTGAGAGGTGCGGCCCTGGGCAAGTCACTTCAGCTTTCTCGGGCTTAGTTCCCTCGACAGGATTTCAAAAGTGAAGACACAAAAAAGAAAAAAAGAAACATACCTCTGACTTCCTCATTTTCCGAACCTTATTTTCTGTCCCTGTCCTGGAACATCACTGAACTGCAGGTGGAATAGTTACCGCTGGCCAAAGGAGGGCCTTTTGGAGTCTTGAGGGTTCCGATTTTATTTGACATTCTGAGAATAGTGTTTTTTGCTAATTTCACTCGACAGTTTTGTGCGACGTGTTATGTCAAATTTGTGACATTAAAGCTGAGTAAGACCAGACCCTGCTTTCAAAGAACGTTTTAATTAGGGAGGCAGACAGGTGTAACTATCTAATGTTAATAAGGAGGGATAGAGATAAAGATGTCATGTGAACCAACCAGGCTTAAAAGGTAATGTGGATGAAGAGGAGGGGTTTGGGGAAGGCAGTAGGAGCACAGATGGGACATTTGAACACAGCCTTGCAGGATGCTGTGCATTGTGACAGGGCAGGGTGGGGCAAGACATGAAGGTGAAGCGGAAGAGCGTAAACTAAGTTATGGAAGAGAAGAGCACTGTGTGTGTTGGCTCCTGAGTTGTGTGGAGTACACAGTGGTGGTGGTGGGGGGAAGAGTTACCAAAAGTAGTTGTGGCTAAATTGGGAAAGGCATTGAATGCCAGCCCCAGCACTTAGGCATTTTTTCTGTATCCTGGATGCCTATAAAGGAAGCAGGTTGCTTTGAAGTTAATCTTAGGGGCTTTTGATACAGACCACCTGGGTTTGAATATAGGCCCCATCATTTATTAGCCTTGGGGCACAGATCACCCAGCCTCAGTTTCCTCATTTGTAAATCATTTAATAATCACAGTATTGTTGTGGGGCTTCCATGGAAGAATGCATGTAAAATGCACAGTACAATTACTGCCACTTAGGTCTCAATGATTGCTGGCTTTATTGATTAATAAAAATGTGAAAAAGTGTGAAGTGCTCTGGATTGAGAGTCTGGCAGATAGATCATCACAAATTTGGACCAAAATCTCAAGTCATATAGTACATATAGTACATGTTCATAATATTGGGGGTGTCCCAGGTTGCTCATCAGTAAAGAATCCACCTGCCAGTGTAGGAGACGTGGGTTCAATCCCTGGGTCAGGAAGATCCCCTGGAGAAGGAAATAGCAACTGACTTCAGTATTATTGCCTGAAGAATCCCATGACAGAGGAGGCTAGCGGGCTGTAGTCCCTGAGGTTGAAAGAGTTGGACACAAGTTAGCAACTGAACAACTGTAACAACTGTACAATATGTTATTGTACTTAAAGGTACAATAACATAATGTACTTTTAAGTAATACTAAGATGAATATATAACAATTGAAAAATGGTTCCTATCTGAGGAAAGTCATTATATTACACCTGGCTATCCACACGTTACCCTAACTCTCCAGGTGACCAGCAGGAATTTGATGCTGTGGCATTCTTTCATCGCTCAGGAAGGGTTACAGAGTCTTGCGCTTACATTCTTTTTTTTATGTTTTAGCTGTCCTGGATAATGAGAGACTTACTGCAGAGGAGATGGATGAGAGGAGACGTCAGAATGTGGCCTACGAATACCTTTGTCATTTGGAAGAAGCAAAGAGGTAAAGATTGGCTGGAGAGAAGATTGGGAGAAAGGAGCTGATACTGTGGGGACAAAGATAAAGATCTCATTGAGTATGTTGTAGGTGTGACTGTGGGAGGCAGGTCGTTTCAAGGAATAAGTATAGCTAGGATATTTTTTTCATAGGAGCAAGTAGCCTTGATTTGTAGTTTATCATGAAACAGTCTGAGGGACACTTGGTTCATTCTCTTCAGTCGTGTCCAGTGGGCACTTATGTATACTGAAGAATTTCCAGGTTTGTGTTGTTCAGTTTTATGCTTATGGTGCATGTTTTGGGTACTACCAGCTATATGGGAGGAAAGCATTTTTAAGGTTTCAAGTTTGGGGCCTTAATGTTTCACTGGTTGTTTACTGATTTTGCTTTATATGTGAATTGGGTCTGTTTTCCCCTTGGTAGTGCTCTGGGTGTATCTTCATCCATTTGGCAATATTCAAAGACTGTTTACTAAAGGCAATGTCATCTGCTTTCTTTGTGAAGTTAATGTGCAACTGATGTTTTCCATTTTCAGATGCTCCAAGACCTTGTGGTTTTAGAGTGTCGATTTACTATCAGTAGTTCATTTCTTTTGTTCTGGTGCTTGGTTTTTTTTTTTTTTTGCAAGATTGCAGGGTAGATAGATGTAATTACAGATCATGTATCCTATAAGTGAGCTTTGGTGGAAAAGGCCAGCAAGGGAAAATGAGAGGTTTTGTGGTTAAAGTCTAATGAAAATCCAGGATTTTTCAAAGGGTGCTAATAAACAAGAGTTTTTTGTCTTGTTTTGCCTTGTAAATTTTGAAAATTTTAAAACACTACAGGAAAGTCCAGAGAACAATACGGCAAACATCATGTATTCCAAAACTAGCAAGTGTCAGTCCTTCAGATATTCCCCCTTGGTCTAAAAAGGCTCAGTTGGCGTCCCCTTTGTGTTCCTCCCTGATCCCATTCTCCTTTCTATTCCTGGGGTTACCTCTGATAGGCATTTGATGCATCTTCTTGAATCTGGGCTTCTTTTCTGAGCTTAAAGCCCTTGCATGAGACTGGGGGAGCGGAGAGGGGATTAATGATGATTTAGGTGGAGAGAATGGTAATAGCACTTGTTTTTCTAAATGGAAGGTTAAATGGAAGGAGGTAAATATGTTATTAGGAAGGGGGATGTTTCTCATGCAGAGTTTGTAAGGAACAAAAACATTAAGTCCTCTGTTACTCAAATTATGGACTAGGTCTAGTTTTGGAAGGTAAAGAATTTGAAAGCTGTAGCTGATATGAAAGACCACCTTGTGCTCTGTGAAGACTTGGTGTCTTTGTTGAGGTGACCTGTGGATGAGAGAAGGGCCCCAACCTGTCTTCCTTCCCCTGTCTAAACCATTTCTGCTTTTAATATTGGATTTGCACAGTAAAATTCCCTTTCTAAAAGAGGGTATTTTAGTTAACATTCCCTTGCGACCACTAATCCAGTTCCACTATTATTATTTTTTAATTTGGCCATGCTTATGGCTTGTGTGATCTTGGTTCCCCGATGAGGGATCAAAATTGCACCCTTGGCAGTGTAAGCTTGGAGTCCTAACCCTTGAACTGCCCCGGGAAGTCCCCAGTTCAGCTTATCTAGTTCATCCATCTCATTTCAGTAAGGAAACTGAGGTCTGAATGTCCGTGGTCATGTGTAGTTTTCTTGATTGAAGAATAGTTTCTATCATTTTAAACAGTGGTTTTTAACCAGCTGTGTATGTCAGAATTGTCAGGGGAGCTTAAGAAATGTGGCTATTTGAACTTTACCACAGAGATTCTGGTTTAGTAGATCTGGGCTAGAAGGTCCAGATAACTATATATTTTAAAAACTCCTAATGGTTCTGATTGGGCTTTCCTAGTGATTCAGTGGTAAAGAATCCAACTGCCAATGCAGGAGATGTAGTTTCAATCCCTGGCTCGGGAAGATCCTTCTGGAGAAGGAAATAGCAACTCACTCCAGTATTCTTGCCTGGAGAATCCCATGGACAGAGAGACTGGCGGGCTACAGTCCCTGTGATCTCAAAGAGTCAGACACGACCTAGTGACTAAACAACAGCAGCAAAATGGTTCTCATGGTCCCCCCTAGTAGTGAAATGAGATTGAAAATCACATTTTAGAACTCTCCCTTACACTAGATTACAGTAGCCTGACTAGGATGGTGTTCTTTATCACATTTTCTTCCTCAAGTGCTGCGCTAGGAAGGCATTTCATTTCCCTCTACTCCAGAGCATGTTCTTTTCTGGCAGGTTTTTTTTTTTTTCCTTGGGTAAAAAAGGCTCCCATTTCCTTTAAAATCCATCCAGGAGCCATAATCTCCTGGGACACTCTTCAGTTGGGTGCTTCTGCATACTTAGGGAGTGATTAAGGCGGTGAGACATTTGAGACAGTCTTGATTTTTCATGCTTTTGGCTATAGGGGAGAGCATAATAGTGGCTTTTTGTCCTTATACACTCTGCGCTCTGGCCCCACATTGAGGAAATGTGCCTGGTTTATTTTATGGAGGCAGTTACAGAAGATCTGGATGCAGTAGTTTTTGTTGTTTAAAGCTTTGATTAGATTATCAACTTCTGGAAGCACCTCTTTAGACTTTACACTGAAAGAGGGCTAGGACAAGAAGCCTGGGGATGTTGTGCTGAGAAAAGGAGACTGGGATACCTGCTGGCCACCCACTGAGGCTGCTGCCACCCCTAGAGAGTGCCTGAGGTGTGCCACAGGCAGGTCACATGCTCTTCCTTATTAGCTGCAGCTTCAGTTATTAGCAGCAGTGGCGTCTCCTGCCCTGGTGAGCTGGGTTCTATGTACCTTGTGTGCTGCCCAGGCACCTCTGGCACAAGTCCTTTTTGCCTCTTTGGATTCAGGATTGCCATCCTGTTTCCTTCATAACCTCTACCCCTCCCAGTTTGGAGGAGTCCCAAGGTCTGGAATTTACGGCCACTCCAGGGCCAGGAAGAACGATCAGAGAGATCCAGGGGAGAAAAGGTTCCCCTCTTTAGTTCTATTTATAATACTGCTGCCCCTCCCACTAGTGGCCCCACCTTATAGCACAGTGGCCCCATTGTGTATCCCGGGGCACTGTGCTTTCTGCTGTGGGAAGAGAGGAGAGCGTGTGGAGGGAGAGAGCATATATACAGGGAGTGCAGGCGGGGAGTGTAAGTGAGAGTATGTTGGAGAACAAGTGAGAGTGTGTTGTGAGTTTAACCTGAAAGGTTAAGTGGGAAAAGTTAGGAGTGATTCTCTACAAGTGTACACTCTGGGCATGGTTGGGAAATAGAAACTACAGAGATTCTGCTTTACTCTACTTTCAATACGGAAATTAAGTTAGTGTTCTAATGCAGTGTCATCGAGTTTTATGCTGAGGGCTACAGAGCAGACCAAGGGCTTTTTATTAAGTGAGACTTCTTACATTATGTATTTATGCTTAAATATGGGCTCATTTTTATTCTATTGCCTGTTCTGATTGGGCTTTAGATTTGTTTTGGCTTAGCAGCAGTTGTACAGTAGAGATAAAGAGCATTTTTCACTCAGTTGAAGGAGGTGAGGTTTAAATATATGAGATGTGGTAAGTGTTCAGTAATAGAAAGATCAGAAGGTTCAGGTGAAAAGAACTGAGAAGGGAATGTAATATTCTGCAGGGGAGGAGAAGGAATGAGTAGGACTAAAAATGGGAGGAGATCCAGTTAGGTTTAAGGTCACAGGAAGAAGGCTAATTCCAGCATTTCCCCAAGTTTGCCAGTTTAGGATTCCTTCTTTCAGAGGCTTGCCCATACACCCTTCTGAGCCCGTCATGGGTCTCCTTCCTCTTGCTTAAGTCAGGGAGCAGAGCAACTCCTCCCCCCGCTCCCCCAAAGTGGGAAAAGTGAAGGCTGTGGCTGGTTGGAGACTGTCAAAAACCATGTGATGTTAACAAGAGTGTAACACTAAATAGAAGCACTTTACCTTCCGTAATTAAGGGGCGTTGAAAAAGTATCTTGCAAAGAAATCAGTCCTTGAGAACAAATTCTCTTTTGTATGTATGTATGTCTTTGTTGCTGGCATTGAATATTTTCCAGATCTCCTTTCCTGTAAGTGGAATCAGAATTCCAGTTACATCTGGATGTATCTAGGCTGGTACACTGCGATCATAAAAAGAGAAATTAAAGGCGTTTAACTAGAAGCTTGCCCACCAGCTTGGAGAATTCCCTTAGGGAGGAATATCACTTAGAGATTGGGGAGGGTAATTTTTAGATTGACCCAAGCTCTCTTTTCAGATGAGAAAACAAATATAATTGTTTGATGAGGCCCAGTGTGACTAAGGGGCCACAATAAATGTAGCTTTGTAGTGGTACTTTCGAAGTACAAACTGGATGTGTTCATGTATTTATGATTATCAAGGAGAAGTATGGGGAGGATTTGTTCTTAAAATGGAGACATAGATGAAAGTCTCATTTCTTCTGAAGCTTACCTAGTGCAACTGCCTTGGACAGACTCCATGGTAAGAAGTGTGTTGCTGTTTAAAAGTGATAAAACTGATTCAAACTAAGAGTGCCTTTTCATATTATTACAGTGTTACAAATCAGCAGATATGTTCCCAGCTAGGCCACATAAACCTTGCCTACAGTGTAGCTGAGCCATTTAGTAAATTTACAGTTTGAGAAATGTAGACAGTAATCTGGTATAAATTAGGCAGTCTACTAGTTATTAGCTGTTGTGATTACTAAGAAGATTCATATGACCATAGTCTCATAATACTTATAATTAAGTAAAACAAATTTTAAAAGCCTGAATAAAGCATCTTTGAAAATCTTGACTGTTGAAATACTCGAAGTGTAAAGAATGAGGACTTTCAGTTTTGGCAGCTGTGAGTCTGATTCTGGTCTTGCAAGTTTCTTAACCTTAGTGGGCAGAGCCCAAGTTTGTACTTTGCAGAATGCTGTGCATTTTAAGGAGTTGAGGTGAGTGTTAAGTGCCTGGCACAGTGTCTGAAGTACAGTAGGAACTCAATAAACGTATTC